GAGGCATTTAGGAGCAGTAACCTTTCAGGGACACAGGGAAACATGTGGTACCTTCCCAGAACAGATAAATCCACCAACCTGAGCTCGCTGCCAAATCATCAGTTCTTGCTGCAAGGCCCGGAGGTGCCAGAACTGGTTAGGAGCAGTAGGAAAAACATCTCCACGTTGTGGGAAAAGAGCTTGGTTTGCCAACCTTGTTCTGTGAAACAGTCGAACTGCGCCTTTTTGAAGCACTGGAAACTGAACCCCAGCCTGAGGCGCTGACCCAAGCTGGAAAATCTTCGGCGTGAACAGTTAAAGTCTGCAAGCAGAAAAGCAGAGGTGATGGAAAGCGTACAAGGCAGAGCTGCCGGGAGATATCCTTGCCAGCTCTTTTAAACACATGTACTCCTGCTGGCGGTCTAAATGGCTTTGGTACACTGTATACACGCTGTGCTCAAAAGACCTCCTTTTCTTGGGGTCAGTGAGGATTTGACCGCTCTGGGCCTGACAACAGCCTTTTGAGGGGCAGGCACCCTTGTGACATGCAATCCAGACCAGAGCGAGCTCTAACAGGGCACTGTAACTGTCTCATGTTCAAGAAATACCACAAGCTCAGTCGACAGAAAGGAAGGCAGCTCCAAAGCTTGCTAAACCTTGTGTTGAAGCCCTAAAAGTCTGCAGTACGTTAATTTCAAAGGGGACTAAAACACAGCAATGGAAGCACCCTGTCAGTCGCAGTCTGAGGGGCTGCCATGGAGGGGGATCCTTATCAGTGACCCCAAAACTCCATTGTCATCTTTGACTCCAAACTACCACCATGCACTCTGTGAGATGCTGAACACTGGAACCAGGCTCTGACTTGTTCTTGGCAGGGCCAAGGGCTGGACGTGCACCCATGGGGAACAAGCCCTGTCCTGCAGCACTGACCTCCTCCATGACTGAGAAGAGAAATAGCAGCACTAAGAGGCAAACAACCGACCCAAGGCCACGCACCCTGCATCCCAGGAGCCCTTGCCAGGGCTGGCTCTTTGCCTGGTTAAGAAATACCACAATGAGAAACGCCACCGGGGAGAGCCTGCAATGGAGCTTCTAGCGTTACCACGTCCCGCAGAGCTGCTTGGTAGGAAAACAGTGCTGATATTTCTGTTTAAAAGCAAAGTGTTCCGTAGACAGCCTGTGTTTCCAAGGAAAGGGGAATATCTAATCACCTCTGGAGAGCAACCAGGACAACACGCTTTCTATCTGTAATGATAATTTCTCATAGTATCACTCTGTTTCCATTCCTTGTCTCGTGGGATCGTCAGATCTGCAAAGGACGTGTGTGTTTTGTGTAAGCCTTGAAATGCCATGGCCTGGCTGAGCGGGAAACGCTGCTGGAGCCAGGAGAGTGTGAATGTGTTACTCTGCTGGGGCAGATTATATCCAAGATTGATACAGGAAGCGAGAAAAAAAATAACCCGTTGGGGGAAACGAGCAGGGAAATAGCTGTGTGTGCAGGGATTGGGTTTCCTCCTTCGCGCTGGAGCAAAGCGCAGAGTCCTGCCGACTGTCCGGCTGGTGGGGGGCCTGTCACGCCGAGGTGCTGCAGAGGGTTCACGCGGGACCCAGGGGCTTGAGGTCACTTGACAACTTGGGGCCACTCAGCCACACAGCTCAGCTGCTCATGGTGCACTGCGAGGAGAACCTTGGGCTGAGGTGAAGTGATTTGGGGAAGGTCAGAGCAAAGGAGAGACCTGGGGGGGGTGTCAAACCATTAGTCATTGCTGTCTTTACAGGGCCATACAGAAATGGGTTTGGGACTGACAAAAACATGACTCACCCAACGAGGCAAAATCTCATTGCCCCTATTTTACAGCTGGACCGCATTTCTCAAACGGAGATCTGGAAAGAATGCAGATCCCCTGAGCCTTAGGGCTACTGTTTTATCCACAAAACCACACAAGAGGTTTAAAGTCCCTACGGACTAAAACCAGCATCATCCTCTGGAGTCACTGGCTCAGATTCTTCTGCAAGCATCAGTATAGGCTTCTGGTGGTGCACAGCTGCCCACTCTAACAGCAGCACCTCGGTGGGACACCCTCAGCCACCAGCAGACCTGGGGCTTGGAAGGAAACGGCACACCGCTGCTGTTTTTTTCACTACCACATAAATAGCAGGTATTCTCTAGGAGGACCAATTCATGGGGAGATCCTGAGTAACCAGGATAAGAGGATGAGAGAACCAACTTATATTCAAGTTCTCCACACAAGATAAGGAAAAAAACATTGCAATTCTACATAGGAACCACTGGTTCAGATTCAAGGAGCTGTGCAAAGCTCGATGCTCGCCCAGCCCAGGACTGAGACGCCGGAAGCCCAAGGTTCACTCTGGGCACTGCCCTGGCTGGACAAAGTGATCACAGCCGGACACTCCTGCCCCTCTCCTGCCTCTTCCCCTGCACAATTTGGGCAGCAACATCAGCAATGCTGCAGTGGGGATGGCTGGCACTGATCCTTCATCTACAGGGACCATAAACACCTCTGGCTGAGGGCAGACAGGTCAGTATTTCTGTCATTTCCATAGCGGCACATATTGAAAAGGACACCTGAGAGCACGTGCTGTACTGTCCATCTGTAACCAAGATTTCAGTTTGGCAATGTTTTTATTTTCAAAGCACGTACAACAGCAAAAATTCCTAAAGGCAGTAAAATGACAGTAGATGACTTCATCCATACCTGATACACGTCCATTTTGGAGCATGGCAGAGAGCACCTTTTAGGTGAGAAAAGCTTTTTTTTAAAAAAAAAAATAAAAAAAAATTAAAAAAAAGAAAAAAGAAGGGTATTTCTTACCTTTAAATCCCAGATCCACTCATTCTAAAACCACACTGTCCCTCCAGGCCAGACCAACTGGGTGTGGAGATGCTGGTTCAACTCTGTGACCTGCATTTTGCAGACACTCGGTGATGATTATAAAGCTCCTGTCTGGCTCTAAAACCTGTGAATGTTACACATTTTGGCCCAAGAAATGAAGATGACTGCCCTTCAGAGCTAAACCACAGGCATCTCCTTTGGGCCTTTAATCAAAGCAGCATTTGCCAGGCCAGCACCCCAGCCTTGCAGGCCATCCTGAAGCCCAACTCTGTAATGGCTTCGGAGAAAACCACAACCCCCTGCTTCAGCACCGCTTTCTGCCTCTGGGAGCAGAACGTGTGGGTTTTGTGAGCCCCTCTCCCAGCAAAAGGTTGTCCAAATTCTTCAGGTTTGCACAAACCCTCTCCACTCACACGCATCTTGGTTTCAGTGTACTTCTTGCACAACAAGGCAGTATTTCACAACCTGTCCTTGCCCTTGCAGTGATCAAGAAAAGTATTGTTGCTGTGAGAAATGCCACTAAATTATCAAATACCTTTGCAATTAACTGAACTGTACCAGAGCCTCAATCATAAATGAATTGTTTAAACAGATTTTGAGCATTCATCTTTTTTTTTTGTACAGTACACACTTTATTGCAGAGAAGATGATGCATTTTAAAAACAAATTCAGGAGTTGCAGGTTCCAGACATTTCTACCAAGCGTGGCCCACAGTAACTCGAGTACAACGGAGTCTGTCGAACAAACAGCAAGAGGGAACTCAATCCTGTCACCTGTAATCACTCCAGAGTCACAAAACCTTGCAACCCGTTATTTAAGAGCCGTGTAAAACAGGTGGCTCTGCTCCTGCGAGCACCTCTGCGTGCAGAGCAGAAGTTAACCCAGTTGCTGCTGATTTACACCAGCGTAACTGAGACCAGAAATGTGTCTTCTATCATGAAAGCAACCAGTGAAGATTTGATGTCAGCGTGATACGCACATGGTGGCAGATTTGTGACGTTTCCTGAAGGGCTTTGTTTGGGATCAGACTAGAGACACCGACTCCCATTTCAGGTATTACTGTGTCTTTGGGCTGATGCACAACTGTGCTGCCCAGTCCCTCTCCACATGGGAAAGGAATCTTGGCGTGAAAACGCACCAAGTGATAACAGGCACTAACGGCCACAATAAACCGTAACACAGCTGCTGCCTACCCTGGACACTGCTGCATTTTGGGAGCATCCCAGTGGGTCACAGCCAGCCCGAGGTGGGATCACAACCATGTTAGACTGCGCTTAGAAATGTTCTTCAGCGTATCAGGTAATGAAGGGGACGCATTTTCCTAGTGAGACCACACACAGTAACTGCTTTTGAGAGACACTGGCTACATCAGGAATTTGAACAGTATAATGTTAGATAAAAATCCCAACCTTTTTTTCTGTAAAATGTGTTTTCTTCCTGATTACACACCTCAAAAGTGAGGCCTTCTCTCTCAGCCGCCACGGTGGGACATTAAACACAGTTCAAACTGCCGACGCAAGTCCAGAGGACGCTGAGATTGCCTGGGCTGGCACAAGACACATTAGCATAGAAAAATTTTAAAACTGCCAGAGTCTCAGACCTGGTTCTCATCTCCGACACCTTCTCAAAGCTTCACCGACATAAACCGCAATGGCAACTTTTACCAGCCGAAGATCTGACAGAGGGCTCAAACCATAATGATGTAAAACCACTCGGGAGTCAGAAATGCCCCGTGCTGGATGTGCAGCAGTGACGCAGTGTGCTCAGGGTGTCTGGTACAGGAGAGCCGTTCACCTGGAGGGTGTTTAATTGCTGATGTGTGGTGTGCTGAAAGACCGTTTGCTTTACTCCTTTAGCATTGTGCCAGCTATACGAAAGCTAAAAATCTACTGGGGTGAATGGGAACCTTGAGAAAAGTAACCGATCGAAAAAAAGCCACAGCAACTGAAGGCTTCTGCGTAATAACAGAGCAAGGATGGCACAGATCAAGACAAGAGTTGACCCAACCCACCATGTGCCTCAAAGCTTAATTTGGAAAGGGTGCTTGGGGAGCAGGGGTGATAAATCATTCATCCGTCGCTTCCTGACTGCTTTGCCAAGGCTGCTGGCGCTGGCAGTCAGTACATGTGCGTGTGTGACTCACTAAAACCTACCCACGAGATGAGAGACCACGACTCACGGAGGCTTTGAAAGGCCACCTCAAAGCAAAGTGCTTCTGACATAGGCTAAACTGTAATTTGTGATGAGTGAGCGAGCCTGAGGCCCGCGAATGCCTTAAGATCTCGCGTCTATTCCCTTTCAGAAGAAAACAGAAAATTATCACATGAAGTGGTCGCTAGGCACAAATGATTCTTCTTCAAACAGATTCCCATAGGTTTCCCCCTTGTAACTACTAAAATATACTACCTGACGTGTCACGAGGACGACAAGTAACTGACATTTAAGGCAATCTAATTTCCATAGCCCTCCCGCGACTTCCACCGAGCACATCGCCTTTGTCTTCCTTCTCCAGGAACGACTTCTTGCACGTGAACATGACAAGCAGCAGCATTGGCAAATGCCACAGGCTGCAGAAGAAGAGCTTCCTGGAGCTGCTGCGGTCTGCGTCCCTGTAGAACCGAAAGCCGAGGTAGGAGATGTAGAGGTTAATAGGGAGCGAAATGATGGGGAAAGTCCACGTGGTCAGGTCGAGAACAGGAGCCAGCGTTGAGAGTCCGATTAAGGCCAAGCAGTGACGCAAGGCCACCCGCCTGCACAGCCCTGGGTGGGTGACAGACATCATGCAGTACCCCCCTCGGGAGTACTCTTCCCGCAGGCCCCAGCTCAGGGCGTTGAAGTGAGGGAACTGCCAGGAGTAGAGGATTCCTCCCAACAGCAACGCACCTGCAGGGGGAGAGAGAAGGAAACAAGCATTAGAGGGCCACCAAGAAGCGCTATGTGAAGAGCTCTGCAGATTCGGGTGGTGTCTGCAGAAAAGCTGTGCTATGAACCTGCTACGCTGCTCTGTGCAGAAGACGAGGCACGCTCTGTAAGATCACGCATGCTCTGGTTTTAATGGCATTTACATAGGCTTGCACATGGTGGCTCTTCTGTTTTTTGGAGTACTTAATTTGGAAAGCATTTCATCAAGTCACTTCCTCCTAACGAATCACCACTAATTGGTTTCTGCACCAATTCAGTCTCTACCTGAGGGAAGATGGATGCAAATGAAGCAAAGTTGAGCAAAAGACTGTTTTCCTGGGAGCCTCCAGCTTCCACTGGTTCCCAAGCTGATGTGCCCAGAGCAGAGCGCCACATTGACCTGAACAGGGAGCCCAGCTCGGTGGCAGCAGAACAGGGGGACAAACTGTTTCCTCCTGAGAACAGGGAAAGCACCAGCAATCTGGCAGCCTGCAGCATGGTTGAGCTTTGTGTTTGCCCATGGCGTGAAGCGAGGGAGATGCTCACAGCACAGGAGCGCCTGGATCAAGGCCCTCGGGCAGGTGGCAGAACCAGCAAGAAACCACTGATGAGGTGACAGAAGACGGAAAACTTTTACCCCTTCAAACTCATTGTAGGAACTTCTAAGTAGTTTGATCAAGTCACTATCACAGCAATGAACTACTTTTACATTTTAAAAGGAGCGATGGAAGGACCGCATTTTTCACAGCTATCCTCAGGACATGGTACAGGGCTTATCAAGGCAGAAGCAGCTTATTATGCTGATTTCAGCAAGCTTCAAGGAGGCCCTCAGACTAAATTCCCCTCACTAATTTTGTCTGAAGACACAAAAAATCCCCCAAGGCTGTTGCACATTATGAGCATTCCTGGATTTTCCTTTTGTTTCCCCAGCTCCCAAACACTCTGCTCCAGCATTAACACTTTCTTTGCATCTCCTTGCCTCCATAAGCTCATTTCTCTATGGAAACTACTTCTTGGTTGGAGCCACAAATCTATCATTTTCTTAATGACTTGACAGAAACAGAAACACTTATGGGCACACAGGTTAATGTATTTAAATTCTTCCCCAAATGCTCACTTCTTCCCCAGCCACTACTCAGGCTCTGACAAAGACCAAGTCACTGTCTCCTTTGAACTGCTTTGTGGTTCACGTCTTCTCTCCATCTGTCCTGGCTGTACATTCCTTGGGGCTGTCCATGCCTTATTCTTGTCTTAAACACCACACCTAACATTGGTGCTGTCTTGCAAATAAAAATTATTATAGTTTGCAAAAGAGCCTTATCAACCACTGAAGGAACAGCCCACTACACGTACTGCAGGTTTCCAGTAAGACCCAGTAGTGGTATAAAAGATTCATCTCATTACTTCTTAAAATGAGTAAGAAGAACTCCATTAGGTGAGTAAGTAAGACCCAGTAGTGGTATAAAAGATTCATGAGTAAGAAGAACTCCATTAGGTGAGTGCATGCCTCTCAAAGTTGATCCCATGAAGCATGGAGATAGATGCTCACTTATCGGGCAAGCAGCTTTCAGAACAACACTGTCTGCTATGAATTGCAGGTGATTGCCTGGACTACGGCCCAAAGCGCTCACAAATCCTGCCACTTGATCCTACCAAAGCTGACTTTCAGGATGTGGATGCTTAGCACCTTCTCTAAATTGGAAACTTTTAAGACAGTTGAAAATGGTGCACCCCAAAATTACCATTAATTTCAGAAGATTATGGTAACAAAAGTAATTTTGGCCCTAACCAAACAGGATTTGATTCAGGTCTGCTGAAACCTAAGGCCGTAGCTCTACTGAAACAAACTGAAGTAATATGTAACCAGAGTAGGGATCCCTAACCGAGAAGCAATGGGGAAAACATTCCTGCAATGTGTCATTCTTTAGGTTTTTCCTATTCTTGTAAAACACATTACCGGAGGCAAGATCCTGACTGTGATAAACCTAAGACAGGAATATTTTTCAAGTTTCACATCTGAAGTGCTTCAGAGACATTAGCTTGTCATTTTTCAGAACACAGGGAAAGGTAAGCTACAATTATCCATCAGCTGAGGAAACGTAAGTAGATGGAGCCGGGGCCAGGGTTCGGAGGCAGAGGCTGTCCCCGCTTCCTACGGCTCCGGAGCAGCGGCTTTGCATTTGGCATGTGCTGCATCCCTGCGTTTCGGCTGTAACGCAGGCTTTGCTCATTCAATTGTTCAACTGTTGCGTGCAGCCAAGCTTCAAACACACCCTAAACCTCAAACACACAAAAACCTTTAACAGTTCTCTAACTATAACACCATTTTAAAAAAAAAAGTCATCTGGAGAAACTTTTAAACACAAACAGACCAACTAAACTACTTGAGGCTGGATTCCCATTTACAAAGCTCTGGTTTTTACATGAAAGCCTTTGGAATTTAATTACTTTGATTACATTACAACCATTGGGATAATTGATATTTTACAGAGAGGCTGAACAGTAAAACAATTTAATAGCCCATTATGAAGATTTTAACTGATCTTTTTGTTAGTTTCTCACGTGCCTTGGACATCCCGTAATTTCCTCTGCCCAGGCTGAGGTTGTCAGGTTGTCACAGATTTTAAGGTGTCACATAAGACTGATGACTTGCAAAGTGCAGCACACACTACAGTACAATTCAGCATCAAATGAGCCCACAGTAGGAATCCTGTCAAGCCCAGAGCAGACACTGTAATACACATTAATTACTAGATGAATGTTAACTATGTCATAATTAGGTCAGCAATGTTTTTAAGCAATACTACAGCAAGTCTAACTCTGGAGAATTACCTGGTTCAAAACAGCACAGAGCCTACTCTGCAGCTTCTGTGCAGTTCCCAGCAGTCTGAGAACTCAGTTCAATCAATGCAGATCTCCTTTTTCTCTACAGAGTTTATAATTCAGTGAAGACCAGACGAGGTGGTTTACAACTGGAGCACGTGGAGCTGGCAGGGCACTTGCAGAAGCAGCAGCAGCCGCTGGAGCAGAGCCATCGCCAGCACCCAGGGACACCGCATCCTTGGCATGTGGAAAACCCGAGCACAGGTGGGCTGACAGCAGTTCATCCCAGATATCCCAGCTTTTCCACAAGTGCTTATAAATTGCAAGATCATACGTATCTGGCTCCTGGATATCCCAAACTCTTTGGCCTTTTTGGCCCAGATTTTAATAGCTGCCAGTTTAGCCCATTGATCACCACTTCCAAACTCTTCACTTCTCCAAGTGAGAGAACCTGGCACAGCTATGAACAGATGCTTATAAATCCCAATAACTTGGCAGATGAGACCTGTTTGATTTTGGACAAAAAATGAAGTCTATTTAAAACAGGGCCCAGGTCTCAAATATTCTTTCACTCTTGTGTGCAAAATAGGTATAAAACGTTTTCTCGTTGAGCTCTTAATTCTTTAATCACCTTGTACTATCTTAAATAATCTCAGAAGTTACAGGACTGCAGAGAACCTGGTAGGTCCTATGGCATCCACAGAGTTAAAGATAAAGAACAGATTTTACAGTTCATCATGAATTTTAAGGTTAAGCTATTATTTCTTTTCTGAAATTCTTTTATAAGTATTTAAACAGTAAAAATATATCTTTTTTTTAATAAACAAGAACAAGCTGAGATTTTTATTTTAATATCTAAGATAAAGCCAAAATGTCAACTGATGTTGAAGAAAGCAGAAAATGCTTCTTTCTTTTTGTAAATATATTTTTATCTAGTGAAATACTGAAGCTTTATAAATTGCACTTTTCCTAAAACAAACAAGGCAGTAAATTCCACAGTCATTCAGAAACTGCTTGGCAAGACAGTTTAAGGTTCAACAAATCTGGGTAAGACTTGGAAGTAACTGTGAGAAGAGACTTCCAAAAGCAACCAGCAATTCTGGGCTTGCAAATGACAGTAGCTGACAGTCCAATTTTCAGAATTACAAGAACAAGAATGTCAAGAATGCCACACGGTACCTCTGAACTTTGATTAAAATTTTATGCTTTATTCCTTTTACAGCAATTTATGACAACCCCATATGCTGGACGGTCCAAATCTCTGGCAAGGGACCAATGTCAGTGCCTGAGCCCATTGAGTCCTTGTCCTCTCTGCTAAGAAGAGCACCCAAGAGCAGGGAACTGGAAGGTGGCTTTAGGGTGTAAGTTCTTGAGGGAGAGCAGAGCAATCAGGTAGCAACAGCTTCTTGTCCTCTGCACCCTGGGAACCTTGATCAGGGACAAAAAGTGTGGGTCCCCCCCCATACTCTAGGTTATGGTTGGACTTGATGATCCTAAAGGTCTTCTTCAACCACATGGTTCTATGATACTCAAGAAGGAATGGGCACGTTCAGCCGCTGAGCTAACACTGCCAACAGAAATCAAGCCGGTAGCATCGTTCTGAGCAAACCGTTTCATTCACGTAAAGCAACCTGAGGACTGCAAACCTATTTTCTCATCCACTAAAGGGCAGAAGTAACGTTTGGATCCTGCTTGACTGCCTCCTGCTGAGGATGCCACTCTCTTAAGCAGCGATTTGAAATATGCCTCTTTCATGCTGGCAATACCTTTCATCATCAAAGAGCTTTCTACATCGTACAGTTGGCACACGGAGCAGTAGCCGTGACTTCGCCCGCAGCTGAATTATTTCAGCTGTCAGCTTTAAGCAAGGCAGAATAGTTTGGGATGATCCAACCGAAACTCTCAAAAAGATTTCTGAAGGCAAGTTCTCTCAGGGCAGAAAAGAACTTGAGCTATGAGAGGGCACAGGCCGGGGCACAGTGTGTTGGTGGAGCACCAGCCTCCGAGCAGAGCCAGCTGGAGTCCAACCAACCCAGGCAGGCAGAAGAGCACGGTCCTGTCTGCACAAGTCAAGGCAAACACCTCCAGGGTTATCTACAGAGACTGCTGTGTCGACAGCGTGCTCCTGGAAGCACACCAGAGGATGAACAACTGCTTAT